CTAGGTTTTCCTACTTGTACCCTCCTGCTTGCTAGTTCATTCATTCCTCATTTCTTCACAAGGTATAGAGCAGGTTCCTTAGTGGGAACGCTTCCTTGGGCCCACCAGTGAAAACTTTTTTCTGACCGGAGCAACAGTCGCTCCTGCCCGAGGCGCGCCTTGTGGGCGGCCCTTGTGACGACCTCGCTTAGAGGCCCCTTTCACGGCCCCTCGCGCCACCCCCAGCGGCCCCGTCGCCGCCCCTAGCGGCCCCGTAGCCGCCCTTCCAGGCCCCTAGCGGCCCCTAGCGGGCCCATCACCGCCCCTACGCGGCCCCGTCGCCGGCCCTAGTGGCCCTGTCGCCGCCCCTAGCAGCCTCGTCGCCACCCCTACGCGGCCCCGTCGCCGCCCCTAGCGGCTCCGTAGCCGCTCCTCACCCTACGCGGCCCCGGAGCCGCCCCTACGCGGCCCCGTCGCCGCCCCTACGCGGCCCAATCGCCGCCCCTAGCGGCCCCGTGGCCGCTAACCTCCCTACGCGGCCCCGTTGCCGCCCCTACGCGGCCCCGTCGCCGCCCCTACGCGGCCCCGTCGCCGCCCCTAGCGGCCCCGTAGCCGCTCCCCTCCCTATGCGGCCCCGTCGCCGCCCCTACGCGGCCCCGTCGCCGCCCCTAGCGGCCTCATCGCCGCTAACCTCCCTACGCGGCCCCGTTGCCGCCCCTACGCGGCCCCGTCGCCGCCCCTACGCGGCCCCGTCGCCGCCCCTAGCGGCCCCGTAGCCGCTCCCCTCCCTATGCGGCCCCGTCGCCGCCCCTACGCGGCCCCGTCGCCACCCCTAGCGGCCCCGTCGCCGCTAACCTCCCTACGCGGCCCCATTGCCGCCCCTACGCGGCCTCGTCGCCACCCCTACGCGGCCCCGTCGCCTCTCCTAGCGGCCCCGTCGCCGCTCCTAGCGGCCCCGTCGCCGCTCCTAGCGGCCCCGTCGCCGCTCCCCTCCCTACGCGGCCCCGTTGCCGCCCCTACGCAGCCTCGTAGCCGCCCCTACACGGCCACGTCGCCGCCCCTAGCGGCCCCGTCGCCGCTCCCCTCCCTACGCGGCCGCGTCGCCGCCCCTAGCGGCCCCGTCGCCGCCCCTACCCGGCCCCGTCAACGGTCCAGCAGCCGAGCCGCTGAGCCGCCACTGCAGTAGCCGCCCCTGGAGCAGCCGCCACTGCAGCAGCCGCCCCTGGAGCAGCCGCCACTGCAGCAGCCGCCCCTGGAGTAGCCGCCACTGCAGCAGCCGCCCCTGGAGCAGCCGCCACTGCAGCAGCCGCCCCTGGAGCAGCCGCCACTGCAGCAGCCGCCCCTGGAGCAGCCGCCACTGCAGCAGCCGCCCCTGGAGCAGCCGCCACTGCAGCAGCCGCCCCTGGAGCAGCCGCCACTGCAGCAGCCGCCCGTGGAGCAGCCGCCACTGCAGCAGCCGCCCCTGGAGCAGCCCCCACTGCAGCAGCCGCCCCTGGAGCAGCCGCCACTGCAGCAGGCGCCCCTGGAGCAGCCGCCACTGCAGCAGCCGCCCCTGGAGCAGCCGCCACTGCAGCAGCCGCCCCTGGAGCAGCCGCCACTGCAGCACCCGCCCCTGGAGCAGCCGCCACTACAGCAGCTGCCCCTGGAGCAGCCGCCACTGCAGCAACCGCCCCTAGAGCAGCCACCCCTGCAGCTGCCACGGAGCTCTCGCTCTACAGTGGTAGCGGCATCGCCGTTGCCGCCGTCGTACGCCTGCCCTTCTCGCCACTGGTGAGCACTGTCCTGCCCGTACTGCTGTTACTGCTGCTCTTATTACTGCTGCTCTTTCTACTGCTTCTGCTGCTCCTGGTGTGCCCAGATGCAACTCCAGCGTCGCTCGCGTAAGTCCCTCACCCCCCAACAGCTTCGTGAGTGGTACGCTAGTTGGGGTTGTCGGGGTGGCCGTAGTGGGAGTCGTCCTGGAGTGAGTAGTTCCGCAGTTGCTTGTAGTGGCAGGATGCAGCTCCAGCGTCGCCCGCGTGAGTCCCTCACCCCCCAACAGCTTCGTGAGTGGTACGCTCAGAGTGGAGGGTCGCTGAGTACTACTTCTGCCCGTACATTATTAGCACAGGTGTCCGGACTGGTCAGACTTGCGGGACGCGTGGTCACACGAAGTCCCGCTGCTTCGCGCGTCTGAGCGACACTTGGCGTACAGAGTTTGGCGACGACGCTGAGCTCCCCGACTGGGTGGAGATGCTAAGGCAGAGGGTAGATATCTTTGCTCTTGACTATGATGCTATTCTCACTGCAATGTATGCATTGTCTACTAGTGCCGAGGGAGTCTGTCACTTGTGTGTGCCGCCTGGCCCCGGTATCCAGTCTGCTACTCTAGGTGCTGGTGAGGCTGCTGCTCTAGGTGCTAGTGCGTCTGCTGCCCCAGGTGCTGGTGAGTCTACTCTCTCAGGTACCACGTCAGCTCAGGCCTTACACACCTTCACCCTTGACTCGGGTGCTTCCCGCTCCTTCTTTCAAGACCGCACCACGCTTACGCCGCTTAGTCGGCCGGTTGCGGTCTCCCTGGCGGACCCCTCTAGGGGTCCTGTCCTTGCTAGCTTCTCCACTGACTTACCGTGCTCGGCAACCCCCTCCGGCACCCTAACAGGTCTCTACCTCCCCTCATTCTCTACGAACTTGGTGAGTGGAGCTGCTCTACAGGATAGGGGGGTTGACCAGTTCACTCCTGCGAGTCAGCGGGTGACCCACTGCACGTGTGCTCGGACAGGCCGACACTTGGCCACGTTCACCCGTCGGCGAGGGTCGAGCCTGTACACACTTACTACTGAGTCTCCTCTGACTGCTGAGTCTGGTCAGGTAGCTGCGTCGAGTCAGATGTTTACTATAGCGTCCAGGTCTGGTCCTGAGTCTGCTCCCTGCTCGTGTCGTCTGCTGTCCCACCAGACTCTCCTTTGGCACCACCGCCTTGGTCACCCCTCCTTGCCTCGTCTCCGAGGCATGGCCACCTGTGTCCTTGTCTTTGGTCTTCCCCGGTCTCTCCCTCCCCTACCTCCGGGGCCTGCCCCTACCTACGTCCCTTGCGTCGAGGGGCGATAGCGCGCCGCCCCTCACTCCTCCGAGTTTCCTTCGACAGAGGCTCCGCTGCAGACTCTTCACATGGACGTGTGGGGCCCCGCCCGCGTCCGTGGGCAGGGGCACGAGCGGTACTTCCTGCTGGTGGTTGACGACTACTCGCGTTACACCACAGTCTTCCCCTTGCGCAGCAAGGGTGATGTCACTAAGGTGTTGATCGACTGGATCCGCGCAGCTCGTCTCCAGCTCAGAGAGAGTTTCGGCTCGGACTTTCATATACTGCGTCTGCACTCTGACAGAGGCGGGGAGTTTTCCTCTGCCCGTCTGGGAGCCTTCTGTTGTGCACAAGGCATCCGTCAAACCTCCACACTTCCGGCCTCTCCACAGAAAAATGGGATTGTTGAGCGCAGCATTGGCATGGTCATGGACGTCGCTCGTACGTCCATGATCCATGCGGCTGCCCCCCATTTTCTGTGGCCGTTTGCGGTTCAGTACGCAGCGCATCAGCTCAACCTTCAGCCCCGGGTCTCCTTGCCTGAGACCTCCCCCACCTTACGGTGGGCGGGGAAGGTTGGCGATGCTTGTGCGTTTCGGGTCTGGGGATCTCGGGCGTTTGTCCACGACTTGTCTGCGGACAAGCTGTCCCCCCGTGCTGTTCTCTGCGTCTTCCTTGGCTTCCCCCCTGACGCGCCTTGGTGGCAGTTTTACCACCCCACCTCGCGCCGCGTTCTGTCCTCCCAGGACGTCACCTTTGAAGAGTCGGTGCCTTACTACCGTCTCTTCCCCTACAGCACTGCGCCCCTCCCCCCGCCGCCGCTCTTCCTTGCGCCAGGTCCTCCCCCGGTAGACCCCCTCCCCACTCAGGGTCCTACCCCGTCAGGTGTGTCCCAGGTAGACGCGGTCGAGCCTGTCGAGGTAGCTGTTGACTCTGGTGCTGCTCGAGGTGCTATGCCTGCGCGAGCCGGGTCTGGGAGTGCGGAGCCTGGGGGTGCTGAGTCCAGGGCTGCGGAGTCTTGGGGTGCTGAGTCTGGGGGCGCTGAGTTTGGGGGTGCTGAGTCTGGGGGTGCTGATCCTGGGGGTTCTGAGCCTGGGGGTGCGGAGCCTAGGGGTGCTGGGTCTGCTCGTGTGACCTCTCGCGGTGCTTCGTCGAGGCGGGAGCCGCTCTCTCCGCAGGAGCTGCGCGAGTGGTTTGCCCGGCGCTGGAGCCGTGCTGCTAGAGCTGGAGGTACTATTGTTGCTGCTGGACCCGGAGGTGCTCGTACTCTTTTTTTTCATCAATTGGGTTTAGGGTTTAGGGTTTAGGGTACTGCTGGAGCTGCTGGCGGTACTAGGGCTGCTGGGGCTGGGGGTGCTGCTGGAGGTACTGCTGGAGCTGCTGGCGGTACTGGAGCTGCCGGTCCTACTGGAGTTGGTGCTGCTGGAGCTGCGGGAGTTAGTGGAGCTGGAGCTGCTGGAGTTACTGGAGCTGGAGCTGCTGGGGGTGTCGGCGCTGGTGGTTCTGCTGGCGCTGGTGCGTCTGAGGGTGCTAGAATTGGCGCTGTTGGCGCTAGCGGTGCTGCTGACACTAGTGCTGCCGCTGGGGGTACTGGTGCTATCCCTGCTGGTTCTGGAGACACTGCGCGGCCGCGACCGTACTTCGTTCCGCTACTTGAGCAGGTTCTTGGTCTCCCGCCCTAGGAGGGGGAACCACGTCGACGTAAGTGCCAGTGGACTTCCAGGATGCCATCTCTGCGTCCATGGCTGTCTGCCATTCAGAGGAGTACTCACCCGCGATCGCCTCAGCGTAAGAGCGCGGGGTCGGGATGTCTGGTGCATCCGGGTCTCCCTCAGGTGCAATCAGCATGGACACGAGATGAGGTACAGCAGCGGCAATGCACTCAAACTCCTCTTGTCTGTCTTCAAGGACGTCCGTGCCAAGAGCACACTCACCCCCGACGGACGGAGGACAGACAGACTCAAGACTCAGCAACATGTCTAGCGGCGTAGTCTAGACGCCAGTGAGCAGCAAAGTCGACAAGCTCAGCAACTAAGGTAGACGCAACAGCAGACTCAAAGGAAGGGTTAGTGATAGCCGTGTCCAGGAGACGCGTGACAGTAGGACTAGCAGCACGAAGAGAGTCAGACTCAGGGTCATCAAGGGCAGGAAGGGAGGACGCAGGAGAAGGTAGAGGGACACGCTGTGAAGCACTGGAAGGACGAAGCGTCTTCTGGTGAGTGCCTAGGACAGCAGGAGGACGCTAACGCGGGACACGACGACTAGTGCGAGCAGCACGAACAGGCGACACAGAACGAGACTCAGGCGACACAGGACGAGACGCAGGCTCCTGACGCTCCGTAAGACCTCCTATCGGACCAGTGTTGGGAGAAGGACCAGGGAGTGGCGAGGCAGGCTGTAACTGTGACTGCGAATGGACAAGCGGAGGACACTCTAAGGAGGGAGCAGGACAAGGAGGAGGCGGCTGACCAAGAACCCGCTGAAGGAGTGGAACGAAGTACGGCCGCGGTCGTGAGGCGCCCCCAGAACTAGCAGAGACAGCACCAGAACCCCCACCAGCAGCTCCAACTCTGGTAGCACCACCAGCAGCTCCAGTAGTGCCAACTCCAGTACCCCCAGCAGCACCAGCTCCAGCCGCACTGTCGGGTCCAGCACCTGCAGGAGGACGAGCGTCAGCACCTCCAGCTCTAGCCCCTGCAACACCAACACCAGGGTCAGCAGCTATACCAACTCCAGTAGGCCCAGCGGCCTCAGCTCCACCGGCAGCTCCAGCAGCTCCAGCACCTCCAGCTCCAACTCCAGCTCCAGGAGAACCCCCAGTCCCAGCAGCTACAGGACCACCTTGATGAGCACCTCCAGGTTCAGAGGCTGCAGTACCTCCGGCAGCACCAGGGCCTCCAGCGGGTGGCACCCCAGAGTTAGGAGTGCCGCTCCGGAGGCTGCAGCATCGAGCGTACCACTCACGCAGCCACTGTGGGGAGGGAGGCTCTGGCCGCGACAGAGCACCCGCAGCACCACCAGCTCCAACTCCGGCAGAACCCCCAGCTCCAACAGCCCCACGCTGGAGGCTGCAACACTGAGAGTACCACTCATGCAGCTGCTGTGAAGAGGGAGTGCCACCAGGCGCAGCACGGTCAGTCTCAGCTCCCCCAGGCTTAGCACCGCCAGTCTCAGCACCCCCAGGCTCAGCAACCCCAGTCTCAGCACCCCCAGGCTCAGCACCCCCAGGCTCAGCACCCCTAGACTCAGCACCCCCAGTCTTAGCACCCCCGGACGCAGTACCTCGCGCAGGACCAGAGTCGACAGCTACCTCAACAGGCTCGACCGGGTCCACGTGGGAAACACCTGAGGGAGCAGGACCCTGGGGAGGGAGGGGGTCTACCGAAGCAGCACCTGGCGTGAGGAAGAGCGGAGGAGGGGGGAGCGGGGCAGTGCGGTAGGGGAAGAGACGGTAAAAGGGGACCGACTTGTGAAACGTGACGTCTTGAGAGGGCACGACACGGCGCGAAGTGGGGTGGTAAAACTGCCAGCTAGGCGCGTCAGGGACAAATCTAAGGAAGACACAGGGAACGGCACGGGAGGAGAGCTTGTCCGCGGACGTATCGCGAACAAAGGCTCGACATCCCCAGACCCGAAACACCGACGCATCTCCAACCTTCCCCGCCCAACGTAGTGTGGGCGAGGTCTCCGGAGCAGAGACACGGGGCCAGAGGTTGAGCTGATGCGCAGCGTACTGCACTGCAAACGGCCACACGAATGGGGGGCAGCCGCATGGATCATGGAGGTACGAGCAACCTCCATGACTAAGCCAATGCAGCGCTCAGCAACCCCATTCTACTGTGGAGAGGCCGGAAGTGTGAACGTCTGGTGGATGCCGTGCTCGGAGGAAAACTCACCACCTCTGTCTGAGTGCAGACGCAGGTAGAGAAAGTCCGACTAGAACCGCTCGCGGAGCTGGAGACGAGCAGCGCGGATCCAAGGGATCAAAACATCAGGGACCTCACCCTTGGTGCGCAAGGGGAAGACCATGGTGTAGCGCGTGTAGTCGTCAACGACCAGCAGGAAGTACCGCTCTTCGCCCTGTCCACGGACGCGGGCTGGGCCCCACACGTCCAGGTGGAGAGTCTGCTGGGGAGCCTCTATGGGAGGGAACGAGGAGGAGTGAGGAGTGGCGCGCTGCCGCCCTCGACACAGGGAAGACAGGGAGGAGTAGGCGAGGGTGGGAGGGGAGGGAGAACCCTGGGAAGACCAGAGACAAGGTACCGGTAGTGCATACCACAAAGGCGCTGCACTGAGGGGTGACCAAGGTGGTGATGCCAGAGGACGGTCTGGTGCGACAGGGTGCAACACGCGCAGGGGGCGGACAACTGACCTGACGCAGACGCTAACGCCGCTACATGAGGGGACTCAGTGGTCAGTGTGTACAAGTCCGACCCCGGCTGCCGAGTGAAGGTAGCCAGGTGACGACTGTTATAGTCAAGAGTCCACTTAGAGGTCGCGGATGCCCATGAAACCGCCTAAGCAGAATCTGACATCTTCAAACCGCCTCTGTTCAAAACGCCGTCACGATCAGCTCCGATAACACGTGAGACTGAAACTTGGACAGCGGTTACCCTTATGTGTCTGCTTTCCAACGGTGTATTGCTTGCTTTCACCAGAGGTGTATGCGCTACGCTGTGAACGAAAACGTAAGCTCGGCTGAAAAGAGTGTATTTTCATTGATGCAAGGAAGAGGTGAGATACAACATTGCCTAGGGGACTCTTAAGGGGTTGGGATCATCCTGGGAACTCAGAGAAGGTTGAGTCCTAGGGGAGAAAGGCTAGAGAAGGATGGGAAACGTTCTATCTAGGTCAGCAAAGCCAACCACACATGGATGTTCAGAGCTGTACTCAAGGCAACCAATCGTGAGTTAAGCCAACCATGAGTTAGCTTGTCTTCCCACTTGCACCCTCTTGCAAGCTGGTTCCAGGAAGACCACACTTCTCAAAAGGAGGGCTGTAGAGTCCCACTTGATCACCTGTACTTCTTGTCTCATTCTCTGTCCTTGCACCATTGGCATGACAACATGAAAGGGTGGCAAGGGAAACGCTGCCAACAGTGCACCATGACTACGGAACAGTGAATTTCGGCAGCTGTCACGCAATGCTCAGATGTTGGATCGTTCTGAAACTTCGTGACCACCTGCAAAACGGGGCAACGAACTGCCAGACCAAATTTCAGACCAATCAGAGCTCGGTAGACGAGTCAGCAGCCGAAATGGTGAACTCGGGTGTTACCAAAAAGGAGTAACACACACTTCCGGGATGCCATAAGTCTTGAAACATAAAATGTTGTCATGCCTTGGTAACTGCTTCAAAAAACTCTGAAACTTCGAGGGTTTGAAGAACACATGTTGAACAACCTCCCCACAAAATTCCAGAAGCTGAGCAGGCTTGTAGGCCGAATGGGAGTGCGATGACTGTGCCACTGTAATGTGTTGGCACAACAACGACCCGTCTGGGCACACGTGCAGTGTGTCACACGCTCGTAGGCAGGGGTGAACTGGTGAACACCCGCGTCCTGGAGCGCAGAACCCGCCACCAAGTTCGTAGAGAACGAGGGGAGGTAAAGGCTCGACAGTGTGCCGGACGGGACAGCAGGACAAAGGAGGGCAGTGGTGGAGGTCGCAAGGACCGGACCCCCGGAGGGGTCAGCCAAGGAGACAGCAACCGGTCTAGGGAGCTGCTCTAGGGCAATGCGGTCGCGAAAGAAATAGCGGGAAGCACCTGAGTCAAGTGTGAAGGTGTGGAGTGCCTCACTAGACGTAGTACCTGAAGGTGCAGACGGACAAGCACCTGAAGCAGCAGACTCACGAGCGCCTAGAGAAGCACCCTCACCAACACCTGGAGTAGGAGACGCACGAGCACCTAGAGCAGCAGTCTCACTGGCACCTGGAGTTGCAGACTGGATACCGGGGTCATGCGGCACACACAGGTGACAGGCTCCTTCGGCACTAGTAGAGAATGCATACATTGCAGTGAGAATAGCATCATAGTCAAGAGCAAAGATATCTACTCTCTGCCTAAGCAGCTCCACCCAGTCGGGGAGCTCAGCGTCGTCGCCGAACTCTGTACGCCAAGCGTTGCTCAGACTGGCGAAGCAGCGAGACTCATGTGTGACCAGGCGTCCCGCAAGGCTGACCAGTCCGGACACCCGTGCTAATAACGTACGGGCAGCTAGCAGTACTCAGCGACCCTCTACTCTGAGCGTACCACTCATGAAGCTGCTGGGGCGAACGAGTCTCGTGGAGACGACGCTGCTGCTGCACCGGGCCACTACAAGAAACTCCCAAACTACCCACTCCAGGGGCCAGAGGCGGCTGCTCCAGGGGCCAGGGGCGGCTGCTGCAGGGGCGGCTGCTCCAGGAGCGGCTGCTCCAGGGGCCAGGCGCAGGGTAGGGGCGACATCGTGGGCAGGGCCGACGCGGCGGGCAGGGCGACGCGGCGGGCAGGGGGCGACGACGCGTCAGCAACTGGGCGCGGCCGCGTCAGTAGCAGGGCGTGGCCGCGTCAGCAGAGGGGCGCGGCCGCGTCAGCAGTAGGGCGCGGTCGCGTTAGCTGCAGTGCTGGCGGGGCCACGTCACAGCAGGGCGAGGCCGCGTCCGTGTCGGCGGCAGGGCTGGGCCGCGACCGCGGCAGGGTGGGGCCGCGTCAGTGACAAGACGGGGCCGCGACTGCAGCCTGATGGGGCCGCGACAGCGACCTGACGGGGTCGCGCGCTAGCCTGACGGGCCTGCAGAGGTTGCGTGCGGGCGGTGAGGGCCTGCAGGGGCGGTGCGCGGTCGGGCAGAGGCTGTGCATGGGCGGCGAGGGCCTGACGGGCCTGCAGAGGCGGCTCGGGGGCCTGACGGGCCTGCACGGGCGGCTCAGGGGCCTGACGGGCGTGCAGGGGCGGCTCGAGGGCCTTACTAGCTTGCAGGGGCAGCGCACTGGCCTAGGGCAGCAGGAGGCAGCGCGAGGGCTGCAAGACGGCGCGCAGGCAGAACGAAGAGCGGGGCGCGCGAGGGCGCACTAGCAGAAAAAGGCGCACGAGGGCACACGTAAGGTAGGGCGCACGAGGGCGCTTCTAGCGGAATAGTGGGCCCGTAGTAGTAAGCGGTCCTAGGTGGCAACCTAGGCTCGTGATACCATGTCAGAACGAACAAAAGTGATTGAACTAGGAAAGAGTTGGGTACAAGTAGGAAACCCTAAACTTACTGTACCCCATAGTAACTACCCCACTATAGCCTAAACAAACTGTAGCAGATATGACATTTGACAATTTCGGCTAAGGCTACCACACATAACTGAGTTCCAATACCCAACCTTCTCATTTTCTCCTCTCATTTCTTCCAAACTACTCTTGTTTTGTTCCTCACTCTTCAGTTTTATTTGTTAGAGCACACCTCTGCTTGTTTATCAACTTTGGAATCTTCAGCGCTATTAGTTGATTTTTCGTTGTTTGCCTTCACCTTATGACACGCCGGAAGGCAATATGGGCGTGGCGTTTTGGGCGTGGCAATTTGGGCGTGGCAACTTGGGCGTGGCAATTTGGACGTGGCGGTATGGGCATGGCAATTTGGGCGTGGCGATTTGGGCATGGCGATATGGGCGATGGCGTGCGGGCTGGGGCAACGTTGTTACTACATTAAGCACTATCCTAAGTTTATGTTTTCTGTTTTGCTGACCTTAACTTCTTGTTTTCTGTTCTCCAAATACTAACGGTTCATAAAAATATCGTGATTTTGCAGGCTACAAGTTTCCCGTGCAGAATGTGTTATTATATTTTTATCATCAGTTCCATTCAGTATTTTCTGGCAAGAGGTGGTTGAACCCTGGTATGTACTTGGCGCTCTCTAATGGTTAATTATTTAAACTTGTTTTTGCAGGGATATGTTTATCGGTTGCAACCGCACGGTTAATGGCCGTTACACGTGGAGATTATTTGTACATAGCGTTTGCGAAGTCTGTATGTCAAACTTATATGCTATGGTCTATCTAGGCTGTAGTGGGGTAGACACTACAGGGTACAACATTTTTAGGTTTCCCACTTGTACCCACATTCTCCTTAGTAATTTCATTCCTCATTTCTTCACATGGTATAGAGCAGGTTCCCTAGTGGGAACTTTTCCCACCACTGAAAATCGAGTTTATACCATGTGAAGAAATGAGGAATGAAATCGAGTCGGGCCTGCCAGAGGCGCGCCCTGTGTGCCGCCCTCCCCTTAGCGACCCGTCGCGCCGCCCTTAGTGGCCCCCACCCTCTCACGGCCCCTCGCGACCCTGTCGCCGCCCCCTAGCGGCCCGTCGCGCCGCCCTGAGCGGCCCCTTGCGGCCCCACCTCCACGGCCCTGTCGCCGCCCTCTCGCAGCCCCGTCGCCGCCCTCTCGCGGCCCCGTCGCCGCCGTTTGCGGCCCCGCCGCCGCCCTCGCGGCCTTGTCGCCGCCCTCTCGCGGCCGCGTCGCCGCCCTCTCGCGGCCCCAGTGCCTCCCTCTTGCGGCCTCGTCGCCGCCCTTAGCGGCCCCATCGCCGCCCCTTGCGGCCCCGTCGCCGCCTCTTGCGGCCCAGTTGCCGCCCCTTGCGGCCCCGTTGCCGCCCCTTGTGGCCTCGTCGCCGCCCTTAGCGGCCCCGTCGCCGCCCCTTGCGGCCCCGACGCCGCCCCTTTCGGCCCCTCCCCGGCCCCTTCACTGCCGAGCTTCCGAGCCGCCAAGCAGCCGAGCCGTCGAGCAGCCGAGCCACCGAACCGCCGAGCCGCTGAGCCGCCGAAGCCGCCATCGAGCCGCCACTACCGAGCCGCTACCGCCAAGCTGTCGTCGAGACGCTACTGCCACTGCCGAGTCGTTGCCACCGCGGTTGCAGCCCTGTTCCTACCGGCGCGCCCCGGCCCTACCCACCCGGACTAATGAGAGCACTCCCTGCTAGACCACTGCTGTCATGGCTACCCCCAGTGTCCTTACCTTTGATGCTGAGGGTCGTGCCGTTGACTTCGAGGTCTGGATCGATGACCTACAACTCTTCCTACAGTGCGATAGGGCAGACGGACTCTCCCTGTTCGATCTCACCTCTGGTGCCTCTCCTGCCCCGCTTGCTGATGCTAACACCACTGTTCGCTCACAGTGGGCCACCCGCAATGCTGCTGCCCATCTTGCTGTGCGTCGCCACTTACTGACCGCTGAGCGTGCGCACTTTAGTCAGTACAAGAGTGCTAAGACCTTGTACGACGCTATAGTTGCACGCTACTCTTCCCCTGCCACTG